TCTCTATGACACAGAGCAATGCGATCTGGAAGGGATATGAAGTGGCAGCAACGTGACAGCTATTACGTGTTCAGCAACACTCCAGTGAGCAGCACTAGATAACAGAGCTGCTGTTACCGGCAAGACTCGAGTTAGCACCTGGGCCTTGCAGAACGCAAGCAGAGCTTGACACTTCCACCTTGGCATCCACCTGGAAATGGGAAACAAGATCTTGACTGACCATCTCTAGCCAGCTTTGATCCTGTTTGGTCCTTACCGGCATGCGAACCATTTTGACCATATTCATTTCCAAACCATCTCAGCCACATGGGACAGTTTTACAGGCACTTGTAGACAAGAAACAGAAGTGCAGAGGCACCACAGGTTTACAGCATTACCTCAGCATCTAAATTTCTACTAGCTTCAACAGGAATCAAAATAGCCTAGTCCCACTCAGCATTACGTTCCTAAGATCAGCTTTCCTGGAGATAAATGTTAACTATAGGAGAAAGGTAACCTGTATTGGTTAGACACATTAATCAGCCTTCCAGTGACTGCTGTTTTTTTTGTGAGAAAGCCTTTCTTCTGCAAACATATCACTCAATCAGCCTCCATTTTCTGGACTCTGCAGCCTTACACTACAAAAGACAATAAAAGCACCATGCATCAGACACATGATATGTGTCCACAGAGCATCTCTTGCTGGTATATCAGGTCAAACATGCTGTTTTTGATCTGGTTATAAGCACTTGCCCAGTCCTTGGCATGCAACATACCTTGGGCAGGACAATGTCAGTGGTACAGCTGCTACACAGCTGAACCACAGGAGCTCAAGAAGAGCTGCAAGGTTGCCACGTTCTTCACTTCTTTGAAACACACTGAGCAAGCCCACTGTAAGTATTTCATTACTACACCTGGAGAGATTTAAACCAGGCAACTGGTTAATGCTGCCTTTGTACATGTTTATTCTACAGATGTGAAAAACTGTAACTTCTTCTTTTTTTTTTTGTAGCTGTGGACCATTTGACAACGAGGATGGCCACATCTTGGAGGTTAAGAGTACCATCAAAAGATCAGCACTGAGTTTACCAGAAGAAAACTGCCTTCTTTCCATTGAGTCAGTAGTTCTGCTCTGATTTCAATATGAAGATATTCACAGTCAGAAGTTTATTCCAAATAACATAGATGGGATTTTCTCATGAGAAGATTTCACCTACATGCTCTACTCAGCATGCTTTACTCAGAAGGAAGGAAACTATCACCTCATCTGAAAGCACAGAAACGCAAATCCTTATCATGCTGATACGAAAGCATGCACACAAATCATGTTGGTTTGACTTGACTTCTACAAATTATGTGGGTAACTGAGGTGAGGACCCAACACACACTGTACATGAAATAATATATCAAATTTAAATAAATGTTCTTTTCAAACTTGCGCAGTATCTTCTTTTTCTCAATCTTGTCTAGAAATCAGGTGATACGCCAAGATACAGATCCCTCTGTCATACAGAATTCACCCTAGCAGGAAGGCAAAGCACCAAAATGATGTGTTAACTGCTTCTCCAAGTGATGAAGCTCTTCTCAGTGGATATGGTTTCATATCCCACAGACTGCTGTGTACTTATACATTCAAGGTCCCTAGTGTATACGTTTAAAAACCTAACAAAAAAAAATCATTAAGATTCAAAGAGATGTCTCCAGGTGTAGAAATATGCCCCTAAAATCAATTTACAGTGCATATACTAAGCAACTGATATGGGGAATACCTACTCAGAAACAGGATTTTTTCATTAGTAACATAACGAGCTTTCATTCAGGCCTTTATTATTTTTCCTCACTCTTCCAAGTAAATATTCATTTTTCCTACATCAAGGTCAGTAGTCAACACTGACTTTTCCCATTCCATTGTTCTACCACCAAAATAAAACAAGACAGAGATAAATGCAGAACACTTTTTTTTTGAAGAAACCTTATGAGGGGTATTCTTTGTAAAGCACATTCTATAGCTACAAGAGCTCTTTGTAGAAGCGGACTTCAGCCTATGGGAGGATCAAAAGTAAAAACTGAAAGAATAGTTAAAATGGTAAATCAGAACAGAAGAAAAGAAAAAGTAGTTACAAAAGATAAAGATTATAGACCAGAAACAGCTGAAAAGTTTCAGCAAAAAATACTGCAAGGAAATAAAATGCTTTTGAATGAAAAAGTATCTGCTAGTGAGGAAGAACTTTTTAATAGGTGTCTGAAATACCTGCTCACTCACACAGAATTATGATTCCTTTATCTGTGCCTATAGTATGAAATTTAGAGTTTAAAGCAAGTTTTTTTAAGAGCACTGAAAACAGACACACCTTCAAGGCACTCTCTCTGCATACATGTATGCTCATCTCTATTTTTCTTTTACTTTTCATTTCCAGTCAAACCTTTGCGTTTCTCCATCTCAGAAGTCACACTCCCACCCACACAAGCTTTCGGCATTTGCGTTAGCTCTGTGAAAAGGGTGCCCACATGCGGGGTCAATCCTGGTGAAAATGCTCTCCCAGAGCTGGCTGAGAAGGTCACACATGTCCCTCGGCAACCGGGACCTCTAGGGCACCAACACACGGTTCAGTCCAGGACCCCTCAACACTATTGCCAAAGGGGCTTGGAGGACTCTGAATGGTCTTCTCTCGAGGAGGCCAAAGCTCTCCCAGAGGTCCTCCATATCCATATCCATATCCTCCCAGAGCTCCTCCATAGCCATGCCCTCCTGTGCACTGTAGAACCTCTTAGCACAGAGTGCAACAGAGTCTTATGCTCCCATTTTCCAGGTGCATTCAAAGGTTGTGCAAAAAGCACCAAGTTAGTACTGAGAGAGAGACGCTGACTGTCAGCCGGTCACCTCAAATCCCATGTTCTCCTTGCTGTCTGCTGGAGATTAAAAGAATCCAATTACGCAACTACTAACCTTGTCAGTTCTTCCTGCAGCTGAGCGTGGTCAGGTGGGAAGAATTTTACCACAAATTTTACAACAATGTGCTTCGGTCCTAGGGAAATGTCAAAGGAAATTAGTCCATATTTGTAACATGCCAGGCATATTTTATTATACAGAATGATGTACAATGGATGATTGGTGGAATATCCAGTGCATGGATATATGTTATCCTTCATCTTGCATTAATATTTTTGATAGTGTCAAAAATGGCACACTACATTTATGGATAATAAGAGAACAGTGGCTTCCTGGAAGGATATGCTGCCAAAACCAAGTCTGTTTTTAGTTACTGCATGAGGTGATCCACTAAAATGTAATACTTGGGTCTGTGATGCTTACTTCTGAAAAGAAAAGGGAGGGTACTGAAATAGACTATTTTTTTCCTAGTCCACTATAAAAATATTTCTATCTTAATAGCAGCACAATTGTTCGGACTCCTACAAATATGGTCAATGACAAAAGTAACAATGTACTTCTCTCTTGTCAGAGGGAGCATTTCCACAGAATCCACTATAACTGATATATATCTGTTTATATCTGCCACGTGCTCTGGAGAGGTGCCCATGAATATCTAATCTCCAGAGCATATGTCCATAAATGAACTACTTTGCTAAAGAAATAAATAATCATCAAAACTCTTCCTGTTCATTTCTCCTCCTCCCAAGGGTGCTGAATATTTACAGTCCCCTTTTCTCTCCAGCCACCCACCGTGACAAGCCCTGGTTTCTTTAACCCAACTTTTCTCCTCCTGGTCTAAGACAGCTCCAAGTTCTGTGGCAAAGCCCCAGGCAGCTGTAGCATACTGGCTCGTTTCTTCCCATTAATAATTTCTTTTTCTGGTTCTTTTTTCTTCTTTCGTGATTACTGCTACCTTTCAGCAATGCATATTTCTTTTGTTGCATGCTTTTTCTTCCTCCGCAAATGTGCTCCTTCCGTTGATATCCCTGCCTCAAGTCCATGCTTTTAGTGACTGACTAAGCCTTCCAAAACCCACTACCAGATATGATTGATGTCTACGTGCTTTGTAGAATTTGTTGCTGCAACGTAATTTGACAGCACACACAGTACAGCTTTCAAGTATAGAACTGAGATAAAAAACAACCCAAATACAATTCAGTAAAGAAAAGTGAGAAGATGATAATGATACCAGTTGACAGAGTCCTCATTTATTCAGCTATTCTCAGATGGATAGAAAGAATGACGGCAAGGAAGTACTTACTTCTAATCTGTTTCATAACAGGCTTCAAAAGATCGAGCCACACCTAAAACCAAAAGAAAGTGGTGTTATCATCTCTAAACAAAGCTTTGGTTTGGTTATTCATTTACTTATTTAATTTCTCCAGTATGGTCTTTATGCTTAATAAGCTATCACTGAGGCACAGCTTTTGAAACAGCAAAAACTTAGAGAATCGGAGAAACAGCATTCGGCAAGGACAAAATCTCATTTATCTCAGAGAGCAGCAACCACAGAAAGTTGGGCCAGTAACCAGTCGATTTGCAGAAAGGAAACTGAAACAAGAAACTAAGAGACATCCTACGCTGCCATTGTGGCCTTTGAGAATATGATCAGGATGCTCCCACCAGGGAGGCCTGAGCCAGCGCCAACAGCAGCGCCTGCACTAACCTACAGAAAAGCAACTGGAAGGGGTTGATATTTGCCTTTGCACTGGGAATGCTGGGCAAATGGAGAAATGAGAAGACGACGACAGTCTCCTGGTTTTGGGGTCCCCACAGGAGTCCCCTGGTGAGGCTTCAATGTCAATGTGGAGATGCCCACATCAGCCCAAGGAGATCAGGATTCTTGGTACTGCTGCCTGCAGAAAGGACCATGTGCTTGGTGATCAAGAGCATGAGGCAGGCCCAGCTCAAAGCGAGTAAGAAAGCTTACTCCTCAACAGCACATTTTCTCTCTTCTGTAAATCTAGGCTTTCCTAAGTACACTGGGTACAGTGTAACTTCTGCAAATGCTTTATTTTCATCTCTTTTTTTAACGCACTATTTTTTAAGGAAGTTGTGTGGGTCTTTCCTCCAGCTTTCAAAAGGGAAGCGATAGATGGAAATACCACGACCAGAGCCTACAGCCCCATTCAGCAGTCTTAGCTGGAAGGGTCTGGATAAATCACCACTCCTCCTCACACAGCTTACAGGAAGCTGAGGGAGATAAAAGCCAAACAACCTATGGGGATTGAAGGAGTGTGACTGCTCACACTGCTCAGCTGATAACTAAACCCAGGATTTGTATTTTGTTATCTCACTGCACTGCATGGAGCCTTCCTTGGAGACATTTAGAATTTGGAGAGGAACATCCTACAACCTTCACGAAGGTTAAAACCATTAAAAAACAAATTAATCAAGTCTTTCTCCTGGAAGATAAATATATATGTATATATGTATACATTCTTTTATACATACATATACGTATATAAATTAATACATTTCTGACCTTGAATAGTTTTAGATTATATGGAGACTGAAACACACTCAAAATCTCCATTTTACAAAACCATCCAAGAAGCCAGATGGAAACAGGCATCTTTTTCTGTTATAACTGCTGTAATGTTGATCGCTATTTTCCTAGTTCCCATATCAGTGAGGTACCTTAACAGCGCCTCCAGTTAGCCCAGACCTCACATTCCTGCGCTTTTAAACTTGTTAACATTTCTCAATGGAATTGTTTTAAGTTTCTCAGCCTCTGAAAGTGATTTTTTTGAAGGAGCTTTGTTATCCAAGAATAGGCAAATGGTGTTTATCACTGGTTAAATTGACTCTGACACTTTTTGGCAATTCAGTACTTTTAAACTGTTTTGTTTCAGAAAGTTGGCATGTACGTAATCTGCTCTGATGGTCAGCAGCTTTGCCAAGTTTAGGGGAGAAAAAATATCCTGAATATGAAACAGCCAGTTTACAAGAATGTGGGACATAAATTTTATTTGACTGAACAAAGACTTATCCTCTCTCTCTCCCTGGGGGATATAGCATATAGCATAAGCATATTGTGTACTGTTCCTTTCTCTGCTTTCTCTTGCAAGCAAGTTACAACATCCTTTACCAGACTGCTGGATACGACTAATGTACATGCTGAATGTGTGTGGGGAAGAAGGAGGAGTGTGGAGAATAATAAAAGTTTCATCACTGTCATCAAACCTAAGCAATTGAAACTTAAACACCTTGCAACTCCCGCTGTCAGTCTATACAGAGTCATTCTGAGGATGGTTTATAAATTGGAAATTAGAAATAACGTGAGGATTCAAATTTGGATTCACAACCTCAGTTTTCTCTGGGACTAAAAAGGTTTGATTACTTAATTTGTAAGCAAGGTCAGATGTTCTGTGACAGTGACTGGATTCCAGCAGCAGGGAAATCTGGGCAGCCATCAAGCATGGTGACACTTTGTAAAACCCCGGGCCTGAGCACCTTGCCTCACTTCCCCTTGCCGGAGCAGCAGATGCAGCACTTAGACCCTCCATGTCTTCTCTGTTACAAATGCAGCCCCCTGGCACATCTGTGACTGCCAGGCATCCCAGCATACTACTGCCAGTATGTCCAAGAGCAGGTCTGGAGCCTTGAGTGCTGAAATAAACACAGCTGAACTGTGAATACAGGGCTTCATGCATGTATGATAACATTCAAACAAATACATTCCAAATATTTATCATTTTTTCATTTTACCTCACTATGCTGGAAGAGCAGCAACTCATCCCGTTCAAATCATACAAAGTAAAATACGTGTGTATGTTTTATTTCTTAGATGCACAATTAACTGCAAATTCTCTAGTATGCCCAATGCTCATGTTCTGCATTACAGCCAGCAAGAAGCTCAGAAAGTTTTAAATCCCACAGGAACATTTACCTCCCCTGCATTATACAAACTGCTGTTACAGCTTAAGTGTAAATATGGCTCACATTGGTGTGCTACTCCACACCGAAACTGTGATTCGCAATCAAATCTTGCACTTCGGAGCTCCTGCAACCTATTTTGAGGGAGTTTTTAGGGGACAGCATCCCTCCCACTGACGTGCACCGCTCTTGGGACACAGCTGGCCAGATGGGGGCCAGATCTGGGCACCTCCTCCTTTCCTGGAAGCAAAGGTGAGAGCAGCCTGCAGACACCTGTCAACTGGCACGTGCACCTGCTCAACTGGTGCTACCCCAAGGGAAGGGCAGATGGGTTACCCTCTCCGATGTGTGGAGGAGGTTTCTTTCAGGGCAAACTGGCAATAGCAGATAGTTTTTTCTGCCCTCCTCTTCATCCAAGAGCCCTGGTTCCCCCACTGGGAATGTCTGGATGTAGTTCCACCCGGTCAAATTTTGGCCGCTGCAAGGGCCTCTGGTGCTGGCAGGATCTCAGTCTCTCCCCTGCTTCTGCCTCAAGCAAATAAACCACTTTTTGTTTCCACAAGACCAAAACCTGTTCCTTTCCCTCAGGGTGCTGAGCAAAACAGAGGGTCACTTAGCTGAAATGTGATGACCTGTGAAGTGGAGATGGTCAGACCAGATGACCTGCTCTCCTCCTGTTCTGGAGCTTGTATAGGCACAAGACGCTAGGATTTGTCTGTAATGTCAGTTTGTCTGTGTTAACGGGGACCCTGGTGTGATAGCACTGTACAGGAACAAGAGTTAACCGAGGATATACAGCAGAAGAGGAAACTGTGCTTACTTCTAGTAAACTGTGTTTCATGTAAATCCAGGAGCAAACTGAAGTGGATCACTTTCTAAAAGACTGAAGACTGTTTTTCCACCATTCTTTTTAATTATAGTTGATCCAAGACTATGTGAACACTACTACCATGACAACAGATTATGCAGTAGTGAATAAATCCTCTTTTGTCTTCAGTTAAGAAATACTGTTCCTTATAGAAATTTTATATAGACACAAAGATTCATCTTGGTTTTTTTTCCTTCTTAATTACTGTTCAAAGTCATCTCCTTTAGATCAGCAAGGATACTGGTGCAGAACTCACTGACCAGGCAAGAAATCCGGTATGTACAAGAATGCACTGGCCTAGCAATCCAGGTAGCTAGCACACATGCCAGAAGGTCACACAGTAAATCTAAAGTGAAATAAACCTCAGAAAAGGAAGCGAGAGGTCACTACCTCACATGAGCCTGTTTCTACCCCAGAACTGTTAATGCAGTGTGTGCATGCTGCAGGCACCTGCTCGGAAAGCGCGCTGGGTCAGGACCTGCACACCTGCCTGCTACACCCAGCTCTACAGACAGTGCTTTCATCATTTTGTTTTCCTCTTTCTACTACCCTCATTATATCTTTTATGTCTTGTTGTCCTAAAATATTTTTTGTGGAACTGTGTCACAGTTATTGCAACTTGCCCTGTCTACAGAGAAAGATTTCACTATCTTCCCACTCCAAATTAAGCGAGCTGTTAAAGATTGCAAATCCACTCTGCGTCAAACCAGCCTTCGGCTTTTCTGGTACAACTGACTGGAGACAAACTGTTTTCCCTCTCACATCCGAATTACCTGGTATTTCAACATGGATGAAACCTGAAAGGAGTAATCAGGTTTTAAAAACATTTCTTTGACTCTGGCAGGAATGAGCACTTTTTTTTTAAAAAAAAAGGTTTTATTTTCTTGGGGATTCAGACTTAATTATACTTTTAAAGGAAGGAGAGGAGGGAAGAAAACCTTGTGCATGTAAGTGAAAAGCAGTTGAAAATGAACCCTTTTACATACCATCATCTTTTTGTGATCAGGAAACTCAAGGCCAAAGTAGTCGCCTTCAACAAGATTCAGGTGGTTGCAGACAGCATCATGCAAAACTTTCCCTGGAGCTCTTTGCTGTAAAGAAGAGACCAAAACCTAAGGTTACTCACTGCAGAAAAACACAAATGCTCGTAATAAGTGGCAGAACAAGTAACTAGACCAAAATATTGTCCAGCAAAAAACACTGTCAAAACCATTTCAAATTCAGTGGATTCTCCAGCCAGATCCCCCAGGCCACCACCGCAGGAGGATAAACATCCTTCCCTGGATGACACTGAATCACACAATCACAGAATGGTTGAGGTTGGAAGGCACCCCTTGAGATCATCTAGTCCAACCCCCCTCCACCCCTAGCCCAATCCACCACCGAGAGATTCTCCCCTTAGGTATTTGTGTATGTTGATCAGATCCCCTCTCAGTCTTCTCTAGGCTGAACAGGCCCAGCTTGCTTAGTCTTTCCTCATACGATAGATGCTCCAGTCCCTTAATCATCTTTGTTGCTCTATGCTGGACCCTCTCTAGAAGCTCCACGTCCCTCTTGTACTGGGGAGCCCAGAACTGCACCCAATACTCCAGGTGCTGCCTCACCAGAGCTGAGGAGAGGGGCATGATATCCCTGCTCTCCCTGTTAGCAACGCTCCTCCTGATGCAGGCCAGGATCCCCTTGGCCTTCTTGGCCAATGCTCTTCAGACACAGGCAAGACCAAGATGGTCACAATACCACAGACCTGCCCCACACAGCGCATGGCTCTGGCTTGTCTGCTGGGCACCGATGCCCAAGGTCCAGGTCCTGGTTTCACATGGGCTTATGCTGGGCAGCTCCAGGCTTGCACATGCTATTCTGAGTTGCCCACCAGTCCCAAGGAGTCAAGGGGAAACATTTCCACTCTCACTATAGAAACCTCTCTTCTACAAAGACCAGATGTTTTTGCAAAATGTTACAGCTCTCAGAGGCAACAGCTTCGCTCATTGCCAGGATACCTCTGAGCAGCACATCGATTAAATCCATGCTGACAGCAGATACTGAGAATTATGGCTAACCAGTGATTCTTTGGAAAAAAAAAAAAACCCACTTTTTAAGTTAAGACAGCAAGCAAATATTTTTGTTCCTGGCAGAGACCCACCTATTTTAACTCAACAGACTTCCTGAAAAAAGCCATTTTGGCTCACTTCAGAATAAATAACGACCCATTAGGCAGCCCAAACTCCGCAGTTAGCTGAAACCCACATCCAAATTCCTGCTCACAGCCCGGACAAGTGACCTTGCACTCAACCTACCTTTTCACCAGGTAAATAATTAGTAAAGCAAAAAAAAAAAAGAGCAATAATAGAACAAAAGAAATCCATTAGCAGCTGAAGTCAGCAAGTGGGCTGAACCTGCGCAGCAAATCCAGGCTCCTCATCTCTGGCAAGTGCCCTTGGCTAGCAGGCTATTTGCTGCAGGCAGTGGTTCACCTGGCCTCCAGTCCCCCCAGGTTTGTCAGGTTTGTCTGGTCTCTGTATCATGGTGGCAGACCAAGTTCCCAAATTCTTCATGTGGAGTAAGCTGGGTTTTGAGCCACGATCCTGAGCACGAAGCACCTTTCCAAGGGAAGCTCATCCAACCCTGTGCAATATATATGGGGAAAAGGAAATGCCCAGCAGCTAGGCTGACATGAGGGGAATGAAGAAGATGACATTTTCCTAAGAGCGGCACAGATGCCACCACCGCGGGCCTCAGTCGCCTCAGAGATGGAGGGCACAACGACCAAACCTTTCGCTCGCTTGGAAAATGAAGTTGGAAGGGAAAAGTCAACTTCACCTCTGCAGGAACTTGCTGAGCAGGTTTTTGCCCAACTTACTTACTCACTTGAGCAGATCTATGCCACCAGGAAACAAAGTTCACTGATGTGATTTTATTAACTGTTGTTAATATTAGCTACGGCAAACAACAGTCTTGCAAATACTGTCAGAAAACAGATTAAGAACAAGCCGATAGGACTGATTTTTTGAAGCATTTGTCAGGACGTACCTCACAGAAACTGAAAAGAAATCATCTCAGAGAGTCAAATAAGAGGGTACGCAGAGGGCTAGGAAAAGAAGATTATTTTTTTCTAGACAGAGTACTTTTGATCGGACGTAACACCACATGAAATAAATCTGAAGTGTAAATATATTTGAGTACACTCACTTTGTGTTCCTTAGCTTCACCAAACTGCAATCCCTCCCGTGGACCAATGCCCAGCCCATGCTGGTAGTCACACCTCTTTTGCTAGTTATGGCAGGGCTTTTCTAACACTGCTCAGCTCATCCATCGCAACAGCCATCGTCTCTTAATGAAACGACTTCCCACTAAGTGTATTTTATTATGGACAATTGAATACTATTAAAGGAACATTAGATAGTAACTACACTAGTTTTCAGAAATACATGTGCAAGTGATTTAGATTTGATAATGTCAGTCCAATGCCCCAGTGTCCAGACAAGTTTGGCCAAGGCTGCTGCAGAGCAGAAGACCTGTTCGTGTCCAAGGCCATTGCTTCCATCCACATGCATAACCAGCAAAAAGGAAAAGCTGCTTTTCAGATCACTTGGGTTAAAGCACATGCACACGTCTTACTAAAGTATCTGATGAACTCCTGGCAGACAGAGATGAAACTTTGTACCAGTCTCTCAGCAAAGAAGGTCCATCAGGCAACATGGAGGTTTTTGATCGACAGGGAGAGAAGTTGGGGAGCCGCTCTGCACCACCATGTAGCACGAGGTTAGCTAAGGAGAGCAAATGTGACCCAGCTCATACCAAGAGGAAAAGCAGCTGATTAAAAGCTGATGAGTGTTTTCATAAAATTCATTTTTAATACGCGTTTAGACAACGGTACGGCAGTGTGATAGCATTTATGCCGCTTGGCATTTTCTCTGGAGCATTCCCTTGTAACATGAAATGTTTCTTACTCAAGTAGCTGTAAATAAGATTATTATGCTAAACTCTTCTTAGCTTTGATCTGTCTAACACAAAATAAAACCTGACAGTTTGTTCAAGAGGAAACACTGTGTGTACAAGCGCTGCTGAGATGTAGAGCCTGGTGACACCCTTACTCTGGTAGAACTAGAAGTGTAATGTTCAAAAATACAGGAATTGGCCCATCTTACAGAGATGCTAATTCACTGCAGTTGCATGATATCTTTACAAAAAAACTTAAACACAATAAATTAAATTCTCAGACCACTGAACATGGAAGCAAACGAGGACTCACTCAGGTCGCAGTAAACACGAACAGACAGAGGACGCATTCAGGAATGAGCACGCCAAGCCATGACCTCATCTGTACCCAACAGCAGGGTCAGGTTTGACCACGTTTACAGGGCCTATGGGACAACGTGTTCTCCAGCCACCAAGGCCTGTTGTCACATCTCAGATGCCAAGCGCCAGGCAGCACTCGGCTAGACCAAGCAAAGGCCAAGATGGTCATCTGTAGGGTCAAACACAAGAGCATGGGACTGAGACATCTGGTGGTTATCCATAGGTCCAACGTGGCGAGCATGAGCCAAGATGTGAGGGCACCTCTTGCTGCGCAGAAGCCTCATGGAACAAGTGCCCACACCAAAAACGACCAGGGCTGACCTGCAGGAGCCCCAGTGAGGAGGACGAGGTACGCAAGTCACAAGGAAGTCACCCAGGATGACCGTTGGTGGCAAGGTCTGTACCTCCCTATAAGCTGTGTGGATGCCTTGCTGGAAGGGAGTCCCCACACCTCCTTTTTATAAGGTTAATTTTAGATGAGGTGATTCCCAGCCATGTGGGTAGCAGGGCATTCCCATTCTTCTCCTGAGCTAGTTTCCAGCCGCACCAAAATAACATTACAATTTTATTGCAGTGAAAACAAGCTTACTGATTTCTAGCTACACAGCCTTATTGCTTAATGTACTTTGAGTTGGCCTTTCATTTAGCTCCGTGATATTACATCTTAAAAGACACTTCACATTTTCAGGGAATGGCAGGCCGGTAAGTCCTAAATTATGAATAATGTGCATAACCACATTTAGCTGCAAGCGATGAAGGTACTGAGTCGAAGCAGCCTGCATCATGCATTGTGCATCCAACACATTATTTCAATATTACTGCTCATTATTTCAGTATTACTCAATTCCTCTTCCCTCTACTCCCACCAAAATCCAAAACAGTAAGTTATTTATGCATCTGCCAGCGATGAATACTTTAATAGATTGAACAATTCTTTAACTTTCAGGAGACTTCCAAATACTAAAAAATATATTCCTCTATATACTTGTTCAGATCATTCTTTGGCACAGACTGTAATAACAAAACTTTTAAAGAAAATGTATAGCATCTGAAAATTTTCCAAGACTTTATAAGAAGGAAGTTTGGACACATTTTTTTCTCCTCTCAAATTCATCTATATTTATTCTACTATATATATATTTATGTGTGTGTGAGTATATACATATACATATATATATACACACACACATACATACACACTCATGCATATGTATCTGCTTAGGATCAAACAGTCATTTTACCAGTCCTGCCCAGCTAATCTGAACTCAGAGTGAACAGATCTCTCATTGAAAGTTTTTTTTTTTGTTACTATTTTTTTAATGTTACTGAACCACGATGTCAGATTGCAAAGAAGTAAAATAAACACTCTCTTGGGAACATCTGAAAAATGTAAGGGGGCTTTGCCAAGGTAAGAGTTTCATGTGGAAGCATGGACTATTCTCTTTTACTCCTTCAAAATTGTTGCAAATGGACCAGAAAAAAAGGTATTTTGTGTATGTTTGTGTATTTTTTTAATGTTGTTTGTTTCAATTCCTAGGGCATTAGTAACAACTGATCAAGAGAAAATAATTCTTTTATTTTCATCTGAAAGACAAAGGTATACTCATTATTGACACGCACCGTAATATAAAGACAGACATTTCTTAATCCCCTACTCCTATCATGTTTTGAAGGCTCAAAAATGAAATGCCACAATTTAGGTCAAGCTAAATATTAATAAAAACACTTGTATGTTACATTTTACCAGTATTAAAATACAAAGCAATTTAAAAAAATGTTCTTTCACTAGAAATCG